CTTGCATTTCAGGGCACTGATCAAAGCATGAATTGATCCATTGTGCTAAGGGGCACCGTGATGTTAAGCCGTGCTAGTAGGAAATCACGATAAATCTTACGCATAGCTGTGTTCTATGATTTGAAAAAAAATTATCTATATCTAATAATAATATCTGGCTTACCAACCAGCAGAAGGGATATCGTAAGCTCGGATACGTACTTATCAATAAGTTTTTAATACGTTTCTATTAACCCCTCTTTAAGAACAAAGCATTTTATTTAATGTAATGCATTCAGTGCATGGACTTTACCACTTTATTGGTAGATTTACAAACTTGTTTGCCATGTTTATTCTCTATTTTCACCAACAAAGGCTAAAAATCTACCAATATTTTGCGAAAGAAAACAAACAGATTTATATGAGCATATATATTTTGTCATCGAATGCACCTTAAATATGTATAAATTAAGAAGTTAACATTGACGGAGAATAATTGTTTGAGTTTCGCTCCTGTTTGAGTCCCTCTCCCAAATTGAATAGTAGAAAAAGAATTGTATTATTATTTTATTAAATTTTATTTCATTTGATTCGAATCGAGTTTCCCTCGATAACGGATGCCATGATTAGGGCGCAGTTTAAGTTTTTTGTGGAATATTTTATTCACACGAAATGCACTGCATGCATTCCTTTTCTAGTACGCTTCTTCATCATAAGTACGTAAGACTTTCACTGATCCTTAGGAAATGAAACACTGTTCTCATTTAAATAAATATGTATGTATGTATGTATCTCTGTATAGTACTAAAGGTCAGCAGAAATACGCAGAGCGATAGGTGCCAACATTAGCAGCTTTAGTTGTTTTAGTGGAGTCAGCAATTGACTTACCTTTAGGCATTAAGTCTGGAATCTGTTTATATGCACACACACCTGCAATGTATGGGTGTACAAGTTGCTTGTATAAATGTGCAAATGAGCATATTTGTGTGTATGCCACTTGCTTATTCCGCATTGTGTGCAAAGTACCTTTTACTCTCCCTTTGAGCTGCTGCATTTAAGCAGTTGCCAGTTTCCAACATTCAACTGCTCCTGCTGCTGCTGCTGCTGCTATTGCTTATCCCTGCGGATAAACGATAGTATATGTAATGTCGCTATTGTTCTTGTTGTTGCTCATGTTGTTGCAAAGTTAACCTTTTAACACGATTTATTTCTGCACACAAGTCACTTCCGATTATGTATGCCACATTGAAGGCAGGAGCTGCCCACAGCATGCCGCAAACGTCAAGCATTAACCGTAAAATACATTCAGACATATATGCAATAATACATATACATATGCATACCCGTGGGTAATGTATCTTGACTATAAGTTTACTTAAAGTTTATGAGGAAGGAACTAAAGGTCTCTATTATCTGCATATTTCCTTTGAGGAAAGCTAACTATATTTCAATAGCGATGGCCGCGAAATAGTAAAGGGTGGTTACCTCTACATTTGCTGTCTACTGGCTTGTAACTAACTACTTTTGGACATAAAATATCAATAATAAAACCAAAATATTTTTTTTTGTTTTTATACCATGTGGCTGAGGAATATTGCTCCATTAAGAAACTCAAATAAATTTTTCTTCAGTTCACGTAATTTATTTATTTTTGTTTCATTTGATAGATAATAGATTTTTATTAAGTTTCTCTAATGGATTTTAAAAATATAGGAATTTTAAATAGCAAAAAGTTACTCTTACTGCTTGAAGGGTTACTGCGCGACTTGCAATAATTATCGGTCGAATGTATGGCTATCGAGACAAATTCTTGTCTCAGAGTCCCAGTTTTACATTTTCGATCAATTTAAGGATCAGTCTTTCTACCAAAAAAAAAATGTGAGCAAATAAATTACATAGAAAAAAGTTATTAATTATTTTTTTGGTAGCAGATTTCATCAGCCACCCTGTACTCTTTTATTTATTTACTTTATCTTATTATATTTCATATTTGTTTACATGTTCTACTGTAGGTGGTGCCATATTTGAACTCCGTCCGACATACACTTCAAATAATATAAAATTTTTATCCTCCTTTTATTTGTCCTCAATTCGAAAGAGGATTTGTGAAGTGCAATAAGAAAGTGTATTCAAAGTAAAACTATGTTCACATATCAATATTATCTCAATCAAAGCTCGTTTTTTAATCACCCCGTTTACACAGGCAAATCTCAGATTATTCGCCGTCAAATTTGTTGTGCTCGTTATTCTCACATCTCAAGGAAAAGTTATGTTTCTTCTCTGTGCCACCGTGATGACGTTTTTCTGCTATAATAAGCAATATAAATATATTTTAACTTAACATTTTATTAAAAATACCTTTACAAACCTCTTTTACTTGCTAGCGTACATTTTTGTTTACTTTTACATTTGGCATTTCTCCTCTTTTTCGCAAAAACAATCGATAAAACTAGGATGGACACCGAAAAGTTATCGGTTAAATCTGAGATTATTTTATAATTACAGATTAACAAGGGACGAATTTTATATGGCTAATCTCTTGTTATAATTACAGATTAGGGTGTTAAGCTCAAAAATGAGGATAATCTACTTATATGTGAACCTAGTATAAAATTTGTAAGAGGATATTTAAATAGAAACTTGTTTAAATAAAACAATCTCCCGATTGCGTCTGCATTACTTCCCCGTTACTTTTAAACTAGTTTCGAACTAGCTTTTCGTAGCTAATTACAAGTTATATAGTTTATAGAAATCCAACAAAAATGCTAACTACAAGTGGGTTATTTTTTATCAATTGATATTTTTTTCTACAGGGTACTATCACATTATAAGCGCGTGTAAGTAACAGCAGGAAGTCTACCAAGGAAATGAATTGCTACATACTACAATATGCGGCATTAACATAAGTTAACTTTAGAGATATTGCATTCTTGTTTATGTTACATATGGGGTAACCATAGTACTACACACATGCATATGTACATTGTTCATCGTATGAATACATGAACATTTCTAGGAAACACTCCTTGTGCCGTAGTAGGTACTTACTTGCGCTCGTCAGCTCTGCTGTTACTTGGTTTGTACCCCAAATCGCGTACCCTTAAAGTTGTTTTGTGTTTTTTTTTTGTTTGCATACACATCTTCTCTCCTCGTACTTGTTCTCATTGTTTACAACTTGCAGTTTTATTTCATCAACGACTCGTCGTCTGCTGTTGTTTATATGTACTAGTACTTTGTTATTTTCCTAGAACCCATCCAATTTGCATTGGTAATGAGCAACACACGCTGCGCTGAGCAATGTAACGCTGAATTTCGTCCAAATGCATCCGCATTCATTATAGTCGACTTTAGCTTTATCCCATTGATGGGAGATAAGTAGAAAAGGCGATTTATCTTAATTACGCACCACATAGTATATATATACATATATGTACATATATATAATACTTTCGAGTTCAATATTTGGAAGAAAAGAAAACGCAACTATATACAAGGTGGCACACAATTAGTAACCCTTCTTCCTAATCGCTTCTCTTTTTGGGGCTACTTGAAGTCGCGAGTTTATGTCTACAAGCCTTAGAAAATCGCAGCCCCTAAGGAAAATATTCGACAGGGAAGCGATCAGTTATCACCGGAAATCTTGCGGAAAGTCATGGAAAATGTCGTAACACGTACAGAAGAGTTATATATACATACAAATAAAAGTAAAAGTCTCAGTACGTTTGGAAGGCATCACGCACCCTTTTCAATAATTTTTCTACACGACTATGGTACTGATATCATATACATATGTATCTCTATACAATGTTCGAGCCTCTGGTATGGACACTTCTAGAGATATGCAGCATGGAAAAATCTGTGTTTATGGGGGTACCACGCCCCCTTTTCCAATAACCGCCAAATATACTTTACAACTTATTCTCAAACCTACTACTCATATACTCAAAAAAAATCATAAAAATCAGTCGAGCCGTTTAGATGAAGTGCGACCAGAAACACCGTGACACGAGATTCATCCGTACGCACAACATGTCCAAGCCAGCATTATCGCTGTATTTTTATGCGCTTAACTAAGTCAATGTCGTTAAACAGCTCAAACAGTTCGTCATTCCATCTTCTCCTATGTATACCCGTCGTCCCGCACATAGGGCCGTAGATCTTACCTAGAATAGTTCTCTCGAAAGTACTCAAAGCCTTCTCATCTTTGTTCGACATATAGAAAAACGGGCATGGCGTAATTTTTGTTCGTCGAGAGAGAACTCTACTTTTCATTTGCCTACCGAACCCACAGTGGCACCTATTGACAAGAGTTATTATTCGTATAATCTCCAGGCTGACGTTGTTGGTGGTATTTATGCTGGATCCTAAGTAGACAAATAGCGAAGAACAAGAACAAGAACTAGAGCTGTCAAACGAATTACTAATGTGTGCCGTGGAAACAGGGTAATTCACGAATTACTTAGCGAATTACTTATACGAAGTTTCCACGATTCGTAATTCGCTCTATAAATAATTCGCGAATTACCCTGTTTCCATGACACTCATTAGTATTCGTTTGGCAGCTCTAGTTCTTGTTCTTGTTCTTCGCTATTTAATATTATTTTTGTATACTGCAAATACCGAAGATGGAGCTAAAATTTAAGTTATCATCAACAATTTTAATTTATATAGAGAAGATTTTATTAATATTGTTCTATAACTAGAAAAAGTGCCAGCAGATGGGACCAGGTCGATGAAAACTTCGATATATTCCCGATAAATATGAGAGAAGGCACCGATTCGTTCGTCATTCGCATGGTGATTCGATCTGAATTCCCTACAAATGAGGTAATTCGCACTCAAAATGTTGTATTGCGAATTACGTAATTCGGAAGGTAATTGACAAGGCGAATGACGAATGGGAGAGTGAATTACGAATAAGAGGGAGTCAATAACGAATCGTGGAAACATCGTATAAAATAATTTATCGAGCAAGAAAGTTACATCAATCGACTTCGCTTTTCAACAAAAACAGTAAGCACTCTTCTTTGTGAAGCTCTTATTTTATTCACTTGCAAATATCGAAATCAATTCAAAGCCAAAAATTTCATTAAAAATAAACTATAAACCAAGCAAGTTCGAACACTTATCCAATTTACATGGCGAATCAAAAGAAATTCTCAAAATCCTTAATGCCCAGCTGAGCCACCTGAGCCTCCACTTCCACCAGCAGGCCCTGCACCACCACCACCACCGCCGCCACCGCCAGCGCTTCCAGCACCACCGCCACCACCACCGCCTCCACCAGCGGCAGCAGGACTACCAGCTGCACCGCCACCACCGCCGCCACCCCCAGCCGCGCCAGATCCACCAGCTGCACCACCACCACCGCCGCCACCACCTGCCGCGCCAGGTCCGCCAGCTGCGCCACCACCTCCGCCGCCACCGGCTACAACACCAGGTCCACCGGGCGCACCAGCACCACCGCCACCACCACCAGCAGCGCCAGCACCCCCACCACCACCACCAGCGGCATCAGGATCACCAGACGCGCCACCACCGCCTCCACCACCACCAGCGGCATCAGAATCACCAGACGCGCCGCCACCACCTCCACCACCACCAGCGGCACCATCTCCTCCAGCGCCACCTGCACCACCAGCGGCTATTGGAATAATTTTGACTATGGGCACCGTCGGCAGCGAAACCACAATGGGTCCATGTGGTGACAAGACATAAGGTATAATGCTAGCTTGGTTCTGCGCCACGCAGACCAGGCAAATCACAGCGAAAGCCAAGACCTGGTTATTCAAAGAAATAATATAGTCCTTCTGAGTAAAATAGAAATTAAATGTGGTCGCGGTTACTTACTAATGTGTTCTTCATTTTTGCGTTATTTTACTTGCGACCGCACGACGTTCTATTGACTGTCGATTGGTAGGGTAATGCCTGCACACCGACTTGTTAGCGCTTTTATAGATAGCTGCTGCAGCGCTGTAACTTCTGTAGATGAGTAGGTGTCCCCTTTAATTGCAATGAGTAGAAAAAAACACACAAAAGAAACAAATAGCCCAGAGCTTATTAAAGTAACCGCACGTGCCTGCCAATTTGAAACCCCCGTTCTAGGTGAGTACACGGGATAACTTCGCCATAAACATATTGCGTATTGCATAAATAAGAATTATAATCAATGCGCTTTAACGCTGCAATGCAACATTTTAACTTCTTATGCATAACTCCCTACAGGTCGGGTATTCAAATTACAAGCAAAGCTCGAAAACAGCGTTGTTCTATTTGCGGCTATTTTGCATAAAAATTCAGTAGCGCGTATGTGTTATCATATATGGAAATATGCCACAGTGGTCTGAATATTTACGACCATTTGCTCGCCTTGTCCATTTGATAAATTTTTCTAATACTTTTAATTTATGTGCAGAAACTAGTTTGAGTCAGCTGTTCTACATACATACTTAGTTAGTTGTTAACACTTCGCTTATGAACAAGAAAAGCTTTAATTACATCATTTGCATTAGCGCATGCGCGAACGTTGGCGCGTCAATGCGCGATGCGTGTGTGGTATTGCAATTAATAAATCAACTTTACATAGTACATACTTGCGTCTAAACTGCATTTAAAATGCATATTTCCTTTTATGTATATATGTATGTAAACAGAATATTTTTGCTGATTTTATCAATGTACCTTTGATGAAGTCGTATGACAAGTTTTAACTGTTTACAAACTGAACATAGGAAATATACCTATGTATGTAAGTAGATATTTATATCTATACCAAGCTTATATTCGGGGCTTCACGCTACGCTTTTATAGAAATATGAAAAATAATGTAGAGATGTTATATTTTATTTCTGCTCTTATTTTCCTATGTATAACTTTAATTTTTTTTTAGGCGAGTTAAGGTATTTACGCTAGGCTTTGTTATGTCAGTATGAAAGATAGATACCAATCCTTTTAAGTTTAGCTTGAAATGGCTCCAGATATACTCCGTAACCTTAAATGCTTGATATTTTTTCATATGGAAGAAACTGAATGCTTAGAGCCAGCAAAAAAATCAAAAATCAATTTTGAAAGAAATCAAACTTGCACTTAACGCATTGCATTAAAATTGAATGGGCTTTAAAGCTGCCTACTAGGATTTTTTTTAGTTCTGATTAAAAAGTTTAAAGCTTTGATGCAATTTTGGTGGAGTTTGTAGATTTATTCCAATTTTCGTACAAAGTTTGAAATTGAGATAAATTGTTGTTATAGTATAACGTAGTATAAGCATATCTATACCTTTTTAAAAAAATGTATGAACCAACACTACTATTTTGACCATAGGTATTGTACATTTGAAGTAAAGGCCTAGTGTAAGCTCCAACCTACCGAAAATGAGGGTTTCAAAATTTCAAATATGCTGTCTATTAAAATTTTCTAATTTCACCTTGATCGCGTTGAATTTAAATAATTGTTTTGAGGTAATTGAGCATTTCCTCCATAAAAAAATCACTTAACAAACTTCAACAATCAGCATAAACTTCAAAATTTGCTAAGAAATTCTTTTTAAAAAGTATGCAAGAATTTTCATAATTTTTGCACAAAGTTTGAAACTTGAAATAACCAAAATTTTTCAAATTTCGCGTCCCTATTTATTTTTCCACCACCACACATGAATTTGACCTCAATAAGAAATACTTTTATTTATATACATATTTGTTATATTTTTGTAGTATTTGTATCCTTTAGCATAAAAAAATTTAACCATTTGAAACGAGCCGCACTGCGGTTCAGGGATACTCATAAACCAGTTTTTATACTCTATTCTTACTCTCTGCTATGCAGCAGACATCTGCAGTGGGTGCATGATTTTCGTGTATACTCGATCATCTAACAAAACCCGTTTTGCATCGTTCTATGTATACGAGCAGAAGTATTGTTCGTTATCGACTGATCTCAAGACGAACATGTTGGCCACAACACCCGATTGCTTTTCATACATACTTGATTGGGTTCGGGTGCTTTGCAGCTCAATATACCCGGGTGTTCGAGTTTCAACCCGAGTGTGCACAAAATTTTCTTGATTGGCTTATGACGTTTTTGTTTCTACAAAAAATGTTGCCTTCTCATCGCGGTGTTCTTAGTTTTTGTGCGTAGAGGGTAAAGAGAAGGTTGAATATTTCGGTAGTTTGTTTAAGTGTACATTTAACCATTTCTTATATTTTTGCTCATACAAAATGCGGCATCACGACGCCTACATCCATTTAGGTATAAATGTGTG